TACTATATATGTATATACGTATGAATATAAATATTTCGATACGTACATTTATACGATTACGGATTTTACGAGGGTTACAACTTTTATTTCAAATTATTTTTTTTTTAAATTTTTATTTGTGGCATCATATTGAGTAGATCGTCGAATTCCGTCGTCAAGAGTCTCATCAATTCAATATCGAATTTTTAAGTTTTGACATAATCGGTATGTCGGAGAACGACCTAATTACTAAAAGTGGTTAATCTAACTTAATTAATAATACCAATTCCTATTAGATAAGAGACTTGTTAAATTAATCTAACATTTCTTCTATTTTTCTTTTCTTTTTCTTTTTTTATTTTCTTCTTATATGTTTTTTTTTTTAATGATCGAGACTAATCATCGGCCTCTCTCGAATAGGAGACTCGTTAGATTGATTCAAATAATCCAAATATTCTAGAAGTTGTATTTTTTTATGATGCTGAACTTGATAAGAAATTGTCATTAATCCATAGAATCTTAGAGACTTGACGATATCTCATCGTATTGAAAATAAATCACAAACAAATAGCAAACACATTTTAAAAATTATGGAAATTAATATAAAGACCAAGAATCAACACGTAAGTAAACATTAAAATTTCCAGATTAGATAACCAAAGGATATTGAGAATAAAAATTAAATTTCAAAATTCATCACATTAATAATTAAAATTACAGCATAATGATATAAAAATTCAAAATAAATTGCAGATGAGATTATAAAATTAAAAAAAAAATGAAAACATAAGACATGAAAAAATTAATATATACAAACCCTGGGAGTTTCAGATTATAATGATAATTGGAACAAGAATTAAAAATAAAATATTGACATAAAGTGTATTAATAATTATGATAAATACCAGAATAATAAAAAATACTAAATAAATATAAAATGATCTCATAAAATAATAAAACTTGACACAAATGCTATGTAAAGACACATAAACATACCTAAAAATTTTCAGATTAATTAGAAATTAAATGCTAGGGAAAATAATTAAATTCCACATGTGATCTACTACCAATTATTAAAATAGGGTAGAATAATTATTAAATAGCAATTAAATGTTAAATTATGAAAATTTAAATACATATCAAGAACTAACACATTAACAAACCATAAAAATATTAGATTAAAATAAAACCAAACAGTAAGCTAAATAATTAGATTACATAAACAAATTATACTAAAAAAATAAAAATAGGGCAGAATATTACATAAATCCGAAATAAATAGTAAATAAACACTTAAAATTATGAAACCTAACCGACATGCTAATTACTAATACATAAATAAGCCCTAAAAAGTTCAGATTAAAATAAAACCAAGTAGATGGCTAAATAATTAAATTCCATGACAAGCAACAATAACAAATTTAAATAAGACATAATATGAAATAAATATCAAATAAATAGTAAATAGACTTCAAAAATTATGAAACTTAAAAAAAAAAAAAATCATAGACAATCATATATACAATTCCTAAAAATATCAGACTAAAATACTCAAAGAACGATGGTCAAAAATTTATCAATTTTACCCGAATTAGGGACCCAATCAAATAAAGCTTATAAGTTTAAGGACCAAATTTGTCAAATACCTTTACTTTCCTTTGGTTTTTGTTGGTTTTATCTTCTAAAACTTCACCATTTTCTTCAAAGAACTATGAATTTTTTTTTCTAAAATGGTTTTTTATTCATCATTTTCAGCCTAGAAGGAGATTTTTAGAGAGAGAAAATAAACCATGGATGATAGAGTTTTTACCTTTTGAAACTTTTCTTAGCAACAAGGGAATAGAAGTTATGCATGCATGATTTGAGAACAACTTCCCTTCCTTTTTCTTGTTTTCTCTTAGCAACAAGGGAATAGAAGTTATGCATGGATGCTAAGTTCAATTTTTTTTTTAATGTTTTTTTCCTCCTTTTGCTAGCCTCTAGTGGTTCTCTTTATATATATATATATATATATATATATATATATATATATATATATTTTGCATCCTCACTCTCTATTTGAAATGATCTAGTGTTTTATTTTTCTTGCTCACCAAGCTCCCCCTCCCTTTGTTTTCTTGCTAACATGTCTTAATTTTTTTTTTTTTTTTTTTTTTTTTTTGGGTGTAGATATGGTAGTAGCGGGATTGAAGGGGAAGGACATTAGGTGGCTTAGGATTTTTGTTTGGGTTTTAGAGAGGTAGAGGGTATAAGGACAATTGTAAGAGGAATGAGTGTGTCAAACAAAAATGAGTATTTGATTCTCGTCTTTTGTTTTGGTGAAAAATTATGATGTAGAAAGAAAAAAAATGAATAATGATTGACACTTAAAATAGGTGAGTTGCCAAACTATCGATTTGGTCCCTTAGTGTTTTAATACTTTACAATTACACCTTTGTTTTTAATTCAATTTCACCTCTTTTGACTTTCAATTTTAGTCCAATTTCATTCAATTATTCTCCTATTTCATTCAATTTTATCCCTAATTATTTTTAATTTTACTCCTTATTTCATTTAAATATACTCTTAATTAATTATTTCATCTAATTTTTGTATTTTTATATTTTTTTGTATTTTCTTTTTTTTTCTTCTTTTTTTGTTTATTTTTTGAATAAAATAAAATAAAATAAAATCCTAAATAAAACGTGTAAAATTGACCTTGAAAAATAAAATAAAATAAATAAAAATAAAAGGAATAAAATTAGCAAAAAATACTAGAAAAATAAGAAAAAATAAATATAACTCAAATTTTGGGTTATGATAAAAATATAAAACATCTTATCTATAAATAGAAAAGTCGAAGAGTTATTGATTTCAATTACCATCATTTTGATATATAACATTAGCCTTTATATTTTACTCTTTTTTTTTTCAATAAGGCTTGATAAGGTTAAACGAGTGCTATGGTGTACAACATGTATGTGACCAATGCCCTTTCATCTCCCATCCGTAACATTCATTTTCAAAATATTGACTTGATTCATTTTTATTTTTTTCTTGTTTCATTTAATAGTTTATCCATTTTTGGTGGTGAGATGTACTATTATGATTATCATGATTATAACAATAACTATTCTAATTATGACTACAATTATGTCCATGTCCGTGGCCACGATCATGTCTTCGTCTATGTCCGAATTATTATAAGTTGTTACATTCACTTCGGAGAATGGAGTAGATCCACTCATACGGAATTCATGATTTTTTTTTTTTTTTATCAATAACTCATTATTTTGTTTAGCCACAAGCAAATATGAAATCAATTCATAATATTTTTTTAAAACTCTTTTCTCGATATTATCGCTACGGGAGTATATTCAAGACACAAAAAATAGATAATATTTTCTCAGCATCAAGCACTCATGATCAATAACTCTTGCCCAAAATATCAAGGGCCATAAAATTAAGATTTGTGAGGTTTGATATGATAAAAATTCTATGATACAAGATATAATAATAATGTTAGGAATAAGAACAAACATAATAATAAAATTTAAGTTTTTCAAACAACATATATTAGATCATTAGGTTCTATGTATTAAATCATTCAAGTTTTTTAAACGTATACTCTACATATTATTATATTTAAAGAGAATAAATTAGATACATATCTCTTAATAATTTAGATAATTTAGATCTTTTGTTAGAACACCCATATAGAAAAACAATCCAATGATTGAAACAAACGATTGAGTTTTCTAGTAAATACATACTTCATGGTCTATTATCTCGATTGGTTAGAGCTTCGTGTTAATAACGTGTTATAAAAATATGGTTACAATGATAGAATTGAAGAGAAAGATGATAAGAAAAAGAATTTACTATAAAATAAATTGAATCTAAGTGATAGCAACTCCAAACAATTTTCTAAATCTCTACAAAAATACTACAGACCACAATCTAATAAATAATCAAACCTATTTATACGTTTTAAGATTAGAAAAAGAATTAAAAGAAACTATGAACAATTAAAGATATATAAATGATTGAATCAAATACACCACCCTTTCAATTTCTTTATTAAATGGTACATCAAATCACATTAAGAATTATAAGTAGTGAAGATATAAAATAAACATAGATATTTTCATGGATATTCATTATTTTCAAACAATAATGTTATAAAATATGACTAATGTCCTTTTCCAAAATTAAAGGTAGAATAGCGGACTCAGGTTACCTTTGTTATTGCTACATAGGGTTGGAACTAGGCTTCGATTTTGTTATATTCTGAATAAACCAGCCCTAAACCCAAAAGATTTTCTCACAACAATTGGCTCAAGACCCAGCCCACAAACAAGTCTGCTATTCTTGTGAAATGTTAAAGTAGAACTGTTTTTTCCTTTTTCTCCAACAGTTTTGAGTGCTTCAAATAATCATTCTACAAATCATATTGATCCAAAATAAAAATATAAAATAAAATGAACCTCTTTTTCATTATGTAAAGGAAGAAATTTATATAATAGGACTACAATTTCTTAAATCCATAATGTAACCAATATAGCTGCCAAGGTACTTTTGGTACTAACCATACTAATGGACGAAAGCCGACAGCCATTAGTTACTACTACAAATTCATATAACATTTCTTCAATTTCAACATTAGCGTTATTACAATATAATTACCAATGACAAAGGAGAGCTACTTTACTACTACGAGAATCCCTCATCGCATGTAACTAATCCGATTCCTGGAAACACCCCCCAACCCCACCAACCCACCCCCCAAATTAAATATCTGGGCAACTATTTGGTGTAATCAAGCAAAATTGAAGGACTAAACTATGATAACACAAGAGAACAGGTCTCTTTACTCCAACACGACAGCATTTATGTCTTCAATGTCTCGAATGAATCACCTCTGACCTGCAATCACTTGGAACGTATCTATCTTTAATGTCTTGAACGGACCACCTCTGACCTGCAATCGCTTTGAAGCCACCAGATGGCGCTGAAGCATAGTTCACTGGGGTCAAATGTTTTTAAGCAACAGGAATTTTAGGTTCGCCTAGATTGACAAATGCCTCTGCACGGGCCATGCGTGCCATCGCCATGTTCCAAGATACAAGGTGGTTCATAAACACATTGACATACTTCTCCCTGTCATTCTGTTCAGGGAATGCTCCATGATCAATACAAGAAAACAACTCATGATAGAGAAAAAGGAGATCCCAAGTGATGGCACATACCTTGTAGTCAAGATAATAAGCATGCTGCAAGATATGGAAACAGAAGAGTTATAAACAGCCTATAATGCTAGGATCATCAGTATGCGTGTTAGAAAGAGAGATCATGAACTCACCTCCCACATATCTAAGCTGATGATAGGCTGCAAAAGAAAAGAAAAGGAGATGAACAGTGCAACTGTTAATCAGAAAATCAAATATGTAGGGTCATAGAGACTGACGTACAATGTCACCCCATACAAGTGGAGTAACAGCGTTTGATGTTTTAACCACATCCAGTCGCGGTTCTTCTCTCTTCACTGCAAACAAAGTAACATTAAAAAAAAGAAAAAGAAAAGGGGAACAGTCAGTAGAATAGTAGATTGCAAAAAGCAGCAGATCATAATGATAAGCAAAATGAACAAGTTTTTGCTTTCTATGTGCTCCTTTCACTGGAAAATAACAAACATCTACACCATTTTTTGTATATGTATAAGAAATACAAGAAGTGATTTTCTTTGGAATGTGATATGCTAAATAATACTCAGCACTGAAAGGAGCAGAATGCTTGGCAAAAACCAAAAAGAACAGGGAATGAAAAAGGAAATCGATGCTACATTGTTCACAAACTAATTACTATCCAATAATCTACTTCATGCTACTACGCAAATAATTTAATTACGTTGAAGCACAGCAAGAAGATAACAATTTTGATCTATTGCTATTCACCGTTCTTATATCATCAGAATTCCTCTTCAGGCACCCTTTAGAAAACAGAATGTTTCAAGTTGAAACTCTTATAAGATAACTTGAATGCAGAACATCTCTAAAAAGTTAAATTTAACACCACAAATTTTGATTTGATGAAGATCCAAATCACTTCTCATTACCTCTAGGAATCTCCTCTAACTTGGAATACAGTTTCAACACGAAAAAGTTTTAAATCAACAACACCAACAAATTCCATTCAAGGTTTAAAAGCATATTAACTTGAGAAAGGACTTACAAACAAGCCAAACCCAGCCAGAGCCAAATAGTGTAAGAGCTGTTTCTGTAAACTTGTCTCTGAAATTTGTGAAGGAACCAAAATCCTTTTCAATCTGCTCAAGCACGCCAAGTTCTGGCATGTCCCCTCCTCCTGGTTGCATAGATTCCCAAAAAAAATCATGATTCCAGACCTGCAATTGGAGGATCAGATGTTTGCTTTTAATTAGAATCTTGCAAACCTTTAACTTTTAGTCTGGTAACAAGAATCTTGTGCTTGAAAATGGACGAAAGAAACTATATCCATAAGATCAGCCAGAAGACAAGTTCAAGCTTCCAACCAAAATACGACTGTATACTAAAATAAACAACAACTTTATATCAGAACAATACAATAGAAAATAATGGGCTTTGCCAAACATCTCCCTCGTAGAACACTCTCCTCACATGTCATCTATTAAAAGAATCACCAAGGTACCTACTTTAGGATCAAGACTTATCATCCTTCAAAACAAATGACCAGTCTAGCTGGATAATGGAAATTAAATCTTATTCCAAATGTTATGAACATTGCAAAGATTCTAAATTTAGGGAAGAAGAAGATTCACTAATTTCTCTTCCAAAAAGACAGAAAAAAAGGCAGGAGACTGGAGTTCAACTTCAGTTACTCATCAACACCCAAAACAAATATACTTAGGAAATCGTATCCAATTCATGAAAGTGCTGCCATCAAGAATCCCATTGACTATTTAAATAAAATGTCTTTGAAGCTGGCACACATGCTTTTGTACAAGAAAATAAATGGAACAACACATTCAGAATTTTCCCAAGAAATTAATTTCAAAAGTTAGAAATTATAACCTCCAGAGACAAGTTGAAGACTCCTCTAACCACAAGCTACCATAAGTTCAATTTGAAGGATCAATCATCTAGGATTTATAACAAGAAGCTAGAAAACATTGTACATTACCTGGGCAGCATTGTTGAATTCTGGCAAAGGGTTGCCGTTGTTATATGTCATTTTGACAAGGTCATCCAGAGTACATCCATAAAGTATATCACTTTTCGCTAATGCTTTATTCAATCCTTCCAAATAGGCACTATGATGTTCTTTCAAATGCACCTCCACTGTTCTCTTGCTCATATATGGTTCTAAAGCATCCTAAAACTCAGAAGAACAATAAAAGTTCACATAACACGTCTTTTATCCAAAAAGAAAGTAAGCAAAACATAAACTTATTTCAGTCATTGATAGCTTAAAAATTCTTCCTTCTGCGAAAAAGAAACAAGGATTACTTACGAGTTTATAAGGTGGGGTCTTTAAGGCATAGTACGAGACAACTCTTGAAGCTCTTTGGCAACCATTAAACTGTTTCTTTTGCTGCTTAAACTGAAAAGATAAAGACCCAAAAGAGCATCCATGACTCAAGTGAGTGAACACAGAGAAAACAAAGCATATTAGTTAGTGTAAGAGAAACAAGAACAGAAGAGAACAACAAACCAAAGTAGGAAGTTGCTTGTAAGGACTCTTGAATTGGCAAGAAAAGCCGCCTGTCAGTGGAACCTGACAAGGTTGAGATGAAGTGAAAAGATTATAAGTAGAGAAACCCATCTTTGTCCTGTCTCTCTGTGTGTTGTTTTTGAACAATTTTCTCTCAGTACAGCGATGGAGTAGAAAGTGTTGGATTGAACTGTTTGAGTTAAAGATTTCATGGTTTTCGGTTTGGGTTTTGGGTGACTTTTTAGGGCCTGGGCTCTATCTAGGTGAAGATTCACGGCCGTTTTTTTTTCTTTGATGACTTTGTAAGGCCTGGGGCCCAATTAAGTCAAACATCCTAATCTATTATTATTATTATTATTATTTTTAATTTTTGGGGGAGAAATGAGATTTTTTTTTCTTTTTTGGATAGCTGCCCATTGTGTGTTAATGTGATCTTGTTATTAATTTAATAGCTCATCTTCAACCAATCAAATTGTTTCTAGAATTGAAAAAAAACTATCTTTTTAGGAAAATTGGTGATTATTTACTTCCATGGTAACAGTTTCATAGTCTTTCTCTATAAACTCATAAATGCATAATGATGAAAAACCCTAATAAATGCATGATGAATTTTTAATGATATGTTCCGTTATAGTAAGATGAAATTTCGTAAATCAATCAGAATATTTAAATAAAAAAAGCAAACTCGATAATCTGGAAAGGCAGATCCTCCATGAAGATTTGGTCTTTGTTCCTGAATATTACATAACTGAGCTATTATGCTGTGATCAAGATTATTAGAAGATCAAGGAGCATGACTGAAAGTGAATGAACTAAAAAGCCTTGCCGGTTTGTTTAATATCTTCTATGATGGTGCACGAGTAAGACAATTCTGGCTCAGACTAAATGCATTCGCAACCTGTAGCCAGTCAGGTTTCACCATTGATATGGTTGAGACCATGGACTAAAGCCACCTGTACTTCCAACACCATAGCAGCTGCTTCTGCTTCTTCAACTAAACCAGAAGATCGAATTCTTCTCTGAGCAGATACTGCTGGTTGCCCATCAGAGTCTCTAACGATGAAACTCCGTCCATCAATACCATTATCTAACTTTTGAATCAAAAACTTCTAGCTCGTGTCCATTCCCACAAGTAATGCTCAATAGTCTCAATTGACTTCCACAGAAACCACAAGTAGTATCCAGCAATATTCCACAGTGAAACAAATTGGATCCGGTAGCACAAATTATTTGTCAGTGCTCTCCCAAGAAAGTGCCTAACCTTAGGAGGGATTTTTAAACTCTGATCAGCGCCCAATTGAGTATGCTATGAGTGTCTTCAGCAGTGCTTGTGCCTTCCATTGCCATAGTCTGATTGATCAACAGATGACAGGCGATTTAACAGCGAAATCTCAAATCTCCCTCTTTAGAAAGATGCTACACAAGTATGTTCGCAAGGACTGACATAAATTTGTTTATCCTGCTCAGCTTCAAAAGGAAGAAAAATCTCACCAATCAGTTGGTTATTCCATTCTATTTCTTTCTGATTAGTAAGAGAACTAAAAGTAGCATCACCATGAACAATTCAAACTAGAGAACATTGCTTAAAACTATTTTTCATTGGCAATCATCCATCTTTCCAAATGGTGACACTTCCGGTAAAATTCTTTTTTTTTTTAAAACCAATCAATGAGAGTTCTACCTAATACCTATACCACAAACCACTAAAACCATGGTTTAAGAAGGCCTGAGAGACAGCCCCGACCTTATTTCATTTTATTTTACAACTAGCAGCTTCATCAATTGTCTTGTCATATCTTTTATGAACAATGCTAATATTACTAAAAAGTTATTCCCCAAAATCCCTACCCCAAAGCTTCAACCACTGTGTTCATAGGACCACTCTTTCAATGCATGAGATTTCTCCTTACAATTAGCATTCCTCTTCTTTTATAGGAGTTTATTTCAAATCAATAAAATAACTTCTATTAGTTCTAGAAAAAGAAGAGGAAAAATCTGAAACACACATCTTATAAACAAACTATACAGAAATCATCATAATTTTATTCGAAGTGGATTGAATAAAATTACTGCCGAACATAAGATTGCTGCTCCAACATCTGTACAAGCAATCAATTGGTATCTACTCTTAGAAAGAAAAAGCTACACTGTTTATCGGGGTAAGCTGCTTTTAAGACCATGATACTATCAAGATTACATGTTTACAGTCTCTGCCAGGCAGCAATAGAGGATCATAGTGTCATAATTATACAATAAGGAAAGATACTTGCACAATTTAATATAACATTTACTCACAGGTCACACCCAGGCTTCATGGGTCGAAAAGCCAAGTTCATAAATGTAGCCATCCAAGAACCAATCCTCAAACAGGTGAATCACTAGCATTCAAACAGCAAATCTGTAACTTTGACAGTTGAAGCCATGTCAAGGAGTAGCATAGAACTTTTACTTTCTTGTTTGGCACCACCATCCATAAGTCGGTCCACAGTATGCTCTGACACAAAACAAATCCAAACAGACATAAGCAACATGCTTGATTTCCTGTGTTCAGTATGAGGAGATGACTGTATTATATGCATGCAGCAAGTTGAAAGCGAAAGATCAACAGGTTATAGACATTTTACCTATTGCAGTTCTGTCAGCAACAATGAATAGGTTTCCCCATGCCAATATAAGAATCCACTCCACCACCAAGGGAACCAGCAATAAGCAGGTAATAAATGATTGCCTGTCCCAGCTAGAAATAAGAAAGGGTCATACACAAGTAAACAGAATGAAGAATGATTGCATAAAGAATGTAAAGTTAATACACGTGAGGAATAATACCTTTGTTTCATATGTTCAAAAAGGCTTAAAAGTAGCATAAATTGCCAAGAAAAATAAAATGAAACATTTGCATTATAGCTCTGTGGAAACTTGATTGGTAATAGGTTCTTCTGTCAAGGGGTTTTTACTGTTTACCATGCTTCAATCCAACTTTGTCCTGGATCTTTTCTAAGGCCTCTTTCTGCCATTTCCCTCCCCACATTCGCTGCATCTTCCCAACTACCCAACTCAGAATAAATCTTGAACAACAATGCATATGCAGCATCAGTATGAGGAACTAACTGAAGTAACTTCTTGGCAGCCCATTCTCCCAATTCTCTGTTTCCGTACATTCTGCAACCACTGAGCAAGGATCTCAAAATAGCAGGCCAAGGAGGATATGGCAACGTTTCAATTATTTTCTTAGCATCATCAAGGTATCCATTTCGTGAGAACATATCAACTAGGCAACCATAAATATCAGGAGATGGCTCCATTCCATATAAGTCCATTGATTTAAACAATTGACATCCTTTTTTAACAAGGCCTACATGACCACAGGCTGCTACAACTGACACAAATGTGGCTTGGCTGGGCTGTAGATTAGCCAACTTCATTTTATCAAAAGTGTCCAAAGCTTCCACAATTAGACCATGACGAGCATAAGCCATGATCAAGGCATTATACATAACAATGTCATTGGATTTGCATGACTGGTTGAAAGCCATCTTTGCACTTTGGATATCCCCGCACTTTGCATATGCATCTAGAACTGCACTAGCAACAAATACATGTCCTTCAAACCCCAATTTGAGAATCAGTGAATGAACAGATTTGGTTTGACAATAAGCTGCAGTACCACCACAGCTATTTAAAATGCTGCTCAAAATAAATTCATCAGGTTTCTCACCAGCTTCTATCAGCAAGTAGAGTGATCTAATAGCTTCACAATTGTAGCCTTGACGCACGAATGCAGATATCATGCCTCCCCAGGCTGCAATGTCTGGTGTATCAAGCATATTGAAAACCTTAAAGGAATCATCCAAGAGCCCAAATTTAATGTAACATTTGATTAATGAGCTGCAAACATATCCATGAGAAGCGAAGCCAGACTTAAATACAACTCCATGAATTTGTCTGCTCATTAGCTGATTCTCAGATCTGGAACAAGTTTCCAAGACATTTGAAAAAGTATACTCATTTGCTTCAACTCCCAACAGCAATAAGCTATAGAAGGTCTTTAGGGCTTCTGCATCACAACAATGCAAGTTGTACCCTGCAATTAACTCATTCCAAATAATTATGTTTTCGGATACTTTACTTTCAAATACTAAGTTTGCCATTTGCATTTCCCCACACCTGGAAAACATATTGATTAGTGAAGATGTGATGTTGACTTCATCAAATAATCCAAAATGGAATGCAAGGCGACAAAACTGAAGCCCGAGATCAAGATTCAGCAGATTCCCACATTCTCTAAATAAAATTGAGAAGGTAATGTGGTTAGGCCTCATGCTGGTTAGCAGAAAACCACGGAACAAATTTACAATGTCTTTAGGATCTTCAAGTTGGGAGAAGCTTCCAAATACAGTATTCCACGTTACAATATCTCTATCATGCATCTGCTTAAAGACTGCCAAACCAGATTTCATTCCACCATTGTTAAAGTACATATCCATAAGAGCATTCATTACCGGAGCACTAAATTCCAGCTCACTTCTAATGATCAATCCATGAATCTGCCTTCCAAAATTTAAGTCAGCGAGAAGTGAACAGCCCTGAATAATGCTTATGAAGGTATACTTATCCATAAATATTCCTTTCCTTCGCATTAAAGATGCAGTACTCATAGCTTCAAAACCATTCCCACATTGTACATACCCTCCAATCATAGCATTCCAACAACCAACATCAACCTCTTCCAAACTCTCAAACACCCTCTCTGCTGCTTCAATATCCCCCAACTTAGAATAAAAGAAAAGAACTGAACAACCCACAAAAGGGTTTCTCTCCATTCTAATTTTCAAAGCAAAACAATGAACAGACAAACCAAACTCCCTACCTTCCACACTATTCCCACACACCTTCATAACACTACCAAGTCCAAACTCATTAGGCACAAACCCACTTCTTCTCATTTCCAAAAAAACCTCCAAACCCATTTCAACTTCCTCACATTTAATAGCTCCACAAACCATCAAAGTCCAAGAAACAACATTTCTTTCAGGCATTTCATCAAACACCTTAAACCCATAACTCAAAAGTCCACCTTTTGCATAAAATTTGATCAAATTATTCGAAATAAAAACATCACTAGTAAATCCGAGTTTAATAATATAACCATGAATTTGGGTTCCAGGAATTAATGACTTTAAATTCTCGCAGAAAGATAAGGCCTTTGAAAGAGCAACTGGGTCCTTTCCTATAACGAAACTAGAGCATGAAGACTTTGTTGAAATGAGACGGTACAGCTGGTTGTGATTCTTGACTGTTATGTTGTTAAAGTTGTAATCTTTCTTTGAAGACAGAAAGAAAGGTTTCAGCTTTGCAGTTAGTCCAAGGCTTTTCATGGGTCTGTCTGCAGAGCACAAAGCGGTCAGCTTCAACTTCTCATGGCGGGCTTTAATAACTCTCTTCCCCAGCTATTATTTAATGTTTAAAATAGTCCCTGAAGTATAAAATTAAAAAATCTTATTGAATTTTAATATCAGATTTTAATCAAAGATGTCCCCCATCACAAAGCAAGCATTGTTTTAATTGTGCATGAGTAATTAGTAATGATACTTGAATTTTGTGTTACTAAATTACTACTTTCCTTGAAAATAATTTTTTTTTGCTGATACTTGAATATTTTTTAATGTATTATGCCATATTCCATATTTTAAAATAAGTTTTGTCCGTTGAAATTAAATTTTTTAAAGATTATTTAGGTTTTAGGCCGGTCAACTATAGAAAAATTTTAAAATACTCAAAAAGTAATTAATTTACATACACAATAATTATTTTATAAATTCACTTTTGAAGAAAGATGTATAAAAAAAAAAATTACATTCGGATTTACTAAAAGTGATAAAAAAATTTCATCTAAGTTCACTTTTTATTTTTTTTATTTTCTTTCTTAGTTATATCTATTTTTCTTATAGAGTAATCTATACTAATTACTCTATGAGCTCGCAAACCATATACTCCAATTATAATGTCTCATATACATATTTCTTTTTATATCATTTTTCGTTTGTTTTTAAATTCACAATGAAAATGTGGGGATCACACTCATTTATCATGGAGAGCCACACCTTCAAGAATTAAAGCTAGCAATCTTGCCATTTCCTTAAATTTTTCTTCAAGAAGTTTTGCCATTTCCTTTTTACTTTCAGATAATTAATTAAGAAATATATATGAGAAAAATATGGTATACACGTGCAGTTGATGACAAACACTGGATCAAATTAAGTAGGAACATCGCAAATTAATAGTACAATGTCGGAGGGAATTATGATAAGAGTAGAGTGCTTGCTTTTATTACAATGTTACACTTTTTTTTTTTTCTAATTCGCAAACATATTATGCATAACACAAGGGAGACTATATCAGATCGCCTCCTTTTTTATTACAACACACATTTTGCAGCACTCAGAATCCTGCAGAAGCCAAATCACCAACGAATACTCTTACATCGGAATTTTCTGGACGAAAGAGTGAGACGACGTAGGGTTTCAAAGACAACATATTGGTGTATGAATCGTCGTGCTCGTAAATAAGATTTGTGGTTCGTATAAGGTTAAGATAAACCTGTTGAATAAACATGGAGACAGCAGTTGGCCTCATGCAATCCTCATTGATGTCCTTCCATGCATTTGCAATCATTTTTCGAAGATCTTTAGTTGCCTCATTTCCTGAAACTCCATAATGTTTCATGTAGCATTGAACTCCCGAAGCACAATGCACCCTCTTTTGCTCATCCTTCAAATTAACATAATAAAATCAATACTAATTAATTATTCATTCATGCATGAGACTATATATATATATATATATATGCAGACGAGTAATGTTACCTCGTGGCTCACAACGTTATTCATAAGACGAAGAACCAGCATTCCAGCCTTAATCATTTTTGGTCTACTTTTTAGCCATTCAAATTCTTTGATCCCTGCAGCTTTTAGTCCAGCAAATGACGATGCTGTTATTGCCCCATAGCCGCTTGAGGTTAGTCCATTGGCGGCATACTCATTGAAAGGTGGCACATGGCCCTTGTCACACCATCCAGCTTCAACAAAGTACGCTCCTGTCATTTCTTTGATCTGATATTACACACCAAAATTGTGTATTTAGTTGTAAAAAAAATTTACAATTAAGCATGCATGCATGGTATTACAATTTATTACACAATTAATTAATCTGACCTCATACTTCACATAATCGACACTAAAGGATCTTCCATCCTTGCTAACTTCTTCCTCTGTTTCATCATAAAGATTCAAGAGATTCCTATAAAGAACTTTCATGTAATCGGTTGGTAGTTGATTGATTGCATCAATTTTGCTTCTGCGAAGTGTGCAATGAAATAATTATAAACTTTTTAAGGATCCATTTTTAAACAATTGCTTTATGAAAGAAAATATATATTGGAATGGGGAATAAGAGATATCGGACCTCTTAATAGCATCAGTAAAATGTTGGAGCTCTTCATAGGTAGCATATGCATCATAAGTGTCATCTATGACCGATATTAACATTGCATGCTTCGAACACACCATCCGAGCATGAGAATATTGAGGCTCGAAGTGCATTCCATTAATCCAAAAATATACCTCAACAATTCTGTCCCTTGCGTAAGGCAACTCCTCAGCCAAATTCAAGTCTTTCCACCAACTGAAACATACATAAATAATGATATTAAATTTAGATCAACGATGCTCATCTTTGCAAGATAAGAAACAAAAATGATAAATCTTTATATAATAACTTCTTGTCTTAACTTCTACCAAAAATTTATTCCCCATTTACCTTGAGAGAATGCTTAGCTCTTGTTGGTGCAACAGTTGCACTACATTGAAATCTAGCTTTGCAAATTTCAGTAGAGTTTCATTATGAAAATCTTCCTCTTCATAAAAAGAGATGTACTCCCTAGTCTCAACTCTTGGTGTTCCTTTGTGCAATGGTCGGATCAAGGCATGCTTAATATGCTTTGCAAGGCGAGGGCTTGATTGGGTTGCCAAGGACTCCAGGTTTGTCCTTGAAAACTCTAAAGCTTCATCAAGAATGTCTTCTCCATGCATGCTAAAATGGGTAGCTTCATACAAACTAAGAATCCCTTTCATGTCATTGGAAATGGTTTTCTTGAACCCACCATTTTTGTCCTTGAATTTGTCGAACACATCTAGTAAACAATCATTCACCGGATGCAATGACCTAAATTTTTAAATTATTAGAGAACTTATCTCACGTTTAATAAATAAATGAGTAATATATTAAGTTGAGAATATACAATTAACTACAAGACTTGAGATTTTTCCTTTTCTTAAAAAAAAAAAAAAAAACTCAATCTAAACTATCAAAACTCAATATAATTTCAAAATATGTAATATGACTTGATAAACCCTATTAAATAAATAATATATATATAAAGTTGACAGAGTTAATTAATTAAGAACTCAGGATAAAGAATATAATAATTCTAAAACATGCATGATTCAAGATTTTTAGGTCCTTACCGGAGGGTACTTTATAGCCGTATTGTCTTAAAACTCGAAACATGAGTGATACGGTATAGAGGTCATATTCATATTTTTCAAGGACATTAGGTAGAGCGTTGAAAACACAATTCACTTGTTCTTCAATTTCAGTCTCAAAATGATATGACACGCCAAGGCGGCATAATAAGTTGATGAACTCAATGTTCTCAACTGGATCCCTTTTAGAAGCCATTAGCATGTCCTTCACATCTTCTTTTAATTCTTCAACCTGTCTGTCGTACGCTTCAAATTCCTGCAGTAGAATAGTCGATCACCACCATAAGATAGTGTTTTAGAAGTAAAAGTTGTTAAGGTAATGCATGTTCAATAATGTAACGAGACATGTCATTGAACATATACATAATATAATGGGAAAAGCGCGCGGATGAGATTTTCAGACACGAGGGGTTAACCTCGTTCCATAGTCCAAAATTCATTGGCCCTTCCGTCGGAAAAAAAAAAAAAAGAAGAAGGAATAAATAACTAAATAAATTGAGAGGAGTTTTTAGCTACCGTTTGTGGGAGAGTAAACGAAGCAAAGTCAAAACCCCATATAGAAGTAGGGAAGTTTGCCAATGGACGGTTGACCAATTGCTGATTGTTGGTTGATAAATGTGTTTCAATTGCCATCTTTGGAAAGAAAGAAGTAAAATACTTACTTATGCTTGATTGATTCCAGTGTTCGGACCAAAGGGTATTTATAAATACCATCCTATGACTTGATGGTCTCTTGGTCCCCTGTTTGAGTCTTTTTTTATCGGTTGCCACGTTTCATGCAGTGGACGTAGACAACAAACGAGTATAGAATATACATTACTGTTTTTAACTTTGGATGCCTATACCGTTCAACATATTATTGTTAAGGAGTAGTGAAATACTGATTAAATAAAATTAAGCACAGATATTGATGATGATTGGATGATCTCTAAGCGCGAGGATGTGTTTTTTTGCGCATGGTGCCTGTAAAACAAATCTCGAAGAGTGTGGATGTGGTTTTTTGCGCATGATGCCTGTAAAACAAATTCCTTTAGTTGCGTGAGAGATCTTCCGATGATTAGGTAAAAATCGGAAAGAAACACATTGGCCAAAAGAGGCTTTTTTAGGGAAAAAAAATTATTTAACTATTTACGAGTAAATTTGTAGATGAGTGAAAATTGTACAAGATACATCGCCTGTTTTGGAATAGTTATTGAGAGAGTAATTGGAAACTGATTCTTGGTGGTGCTTTGGGCTTTTATATAAACAATTGTAGGTGAAACTCGTGTAAATAATAAAAATGTCCTTTCTTTTTGGGCTTAGTAGGTCAGCTGACAAATATTAACTATGTACTATAATTGTATTTGATCTATGACAATATTATTACTCAACATAATGAATGATAATCTGATTGACGTCATCCTTGAAGAATTCTCATTAAATGTTTTGTCCGTCTTTGTCATAGTAGAGGTGATTAGTATCTTTCTTTCCTAGGTTGAGGAATAAAGGGCACTTAGACAATTATCTATACAATAATAATTAATTAAATTTAGAATCAATTAATTAATTCAAAAAAATAAAAGATACTCAAATTATTAAGAATAGTTTGAAGACTCATGTTTTACAATCTTTTGCAAAGTAAAGTTGAAATCCTTTAAACTAAATTGATAAAATTAGCTAATACATACATACATATATATATATATATATATATATATAAAGCATCACTCTAATATGCAAATCTAGAGGTTATTTATACATATAGAAAGATAAAATATGACGAGTTAACAAAGTTCTATTTAGGATTTTTTTTTCAAATTTAATTAGAAGTTGTTGTTGAATAGGACTTTAGGTTACGTGTTGAAAATTCCAAAGCTGATTTAAGGTTAGAAGGCGACAAAATTTAGACTTCTCTTTATGAAGGTTGTATGCCTAAATGTATTATTTACGTAGGTTTGTGAAGAATTTGAATACAATGTGTAGGACTTTATATATGGTTCAAACACTACCAATGTTTCAAATTGTCACTAAATTCAAATTTCTATCTTGACTTTTATAATCGACTTTGATAGCTAAATAATAATAATAATAATAATAATAATAATAATAAAATGGATTTGTGCGTTTAAACCCAATATGGAAAGCTTAGATGTCCAATTAAAACTTTAAGAATGACTCTTTTACATTACGAAGTTCTAAAGATGTAAAATTCGATATCTACCTCTAAAGGTCAATATGCTAACATTGAAATTTTATATTAATTAGCTCACTTTTGCTCATTTGTCTCAAATCTTTTACTAAATTACAAAAAAAAAAAAAAAAAAAACTTAATTCAATACATATAATCTAAAAGCACATCTAAAAGATTAAATATAAGAGAGTAAATATAATTGATAATGGTTACTATTAAATTTTTCCACACTTAGCTTTTACATGTCCTAATGCATAACACTAAAAATAAATTAAGGCTCAATATTAACTCTTCAATGATATCAAGACTATAAAATCACAAGTAAGAAAACAATCAAAATTCTCAAGAATCGTAACACATCATGAATCAACATTCTTGATAACTCAAAAAAAGTAATCAATACAATAGTTTTCATTCAAAATAGAGTAAAATAAATTGGTAGACCCTCGTAAGATAAACTCTCTAACTCTCGAGTGTTTAGGATAAGTGTTTTACTTTAATTCATTCCAAAAAATATACTACCATAAGCTTACTTATCATCTAATCTCAACTAACTCTCAAGTGTTTAGGATAAGTGTTTCACTTTTTATAAGGTTGTAATAGGGTTAAGAAAATAAGATAAGGAATTATATGGATATGAAAGTATAAAACCAAAGAAATTAATAAAGCATTCGAAATATAAACTCGGGTAAATAAAACTATTAGGATGCAAAACCTTTCATCTCAAATTTCAAACACTTATCAACTTTCTCATGGTTTTTTTTTTCTTTTTTTTTTTTTAAAGAAGTTTTTTTTTTAAAAGCACATAGATAATGAACTATCTTTGATCGAACATGGACAACATCACAATTTTTTTTTCTTTTTCTTTTTTTTTCCAAACTTGTGTCATGTTTTCAATAAAAAATTTTTCTTATGAAATTCATATATAATTAGAAAGGAAAGAACTTCCACCTCCATCTTTTCAAAAACAAATCAACCAAAACAACTAATCCCCCTTTTTTCCTTTTTATTTTGAATTTCAAATCCCTACACTTGTTCAAAAACCCATTCTAATAATTCAAATTCTCTACTAATTCCTAAGTTTTTGTAAAGACATTTGTTTTCGGTTAAAATGGCTTGTTAATGGGTTACGGAATAAGAAAGATCAATTAAACTCAAGTAGGCTCATTAATGGTAAATTATAAGGTATGCTTTCTAGGCTAAATGGTTTATTCAAAAATTACCTTTCATATTTATGCATGCATATGTTAATGTAATTTAATTAAAAAAAAAGGTAAATTCTAGAGTAACAAATTTATGGAAGAATATCACAAAAAATATATATAGAAATTGATATTAATGTTCAATCTATAAACTCAAAATCTTACGGAGTTAAATTATAGGATAAGTTTTTCCTTTGACTAGCTAATGGTGGAGGTGTTTAATCTTTTTTACTTGAGTGTGGGCTAGATTCACCTAAATAGTGGAGTGTTTGGCTGTTTTTAACCATTTCTATTGAAGTCTTTGGATCATCCCAACTCTTATGCTATTTAGATATTCTCACCATTTTACTTGGAGAGCGGTGAGGATGGAAAGATGGTTAGGGTGTACACTTTTATGGTCT